CCAGGCTGTGGGCCGAAGGTTCGCAGTTTCCTGTACCAGGTGCAGCTTGCAGTTTCCACTATTACAGTTTTGCTTCTGGCTGCTTACTGTTCCTTGTTGATGGACCGCGCGAGGGGGGGGAGCGAACAGGCAGGTTTAGCACGCCCTGAGCGTGTTGTCTGAATTGCTGGTTGGGTAAAAATTGACACCCCTCACGCAGATCGGCGGGTCAGGGTCCAAAAACATACGGGATTCGCCACATTTCGAAAATTCAGTGGCACCCCTCAGATCGGCGGGGTCAGGGTCCAAAAACACATGGGATTTGCCACATGTCTGAAATTCGCTGGCACCGCCTCATACGCAGATCGGCGGGGTCAGGGTCCAAAAGCACACGGGATGTGCCACATTTCTAAAGTTCGGTGGCACCCCTCACGCAGATCGGCGGCGTCAGGTTCCAAAAACACATGGGATTTGCCACATTTCTGAAATTCGCTGGCACCCCTCACGCAGATCGGCGGGGTCAGGGTCAGCAAACACATGGGATTGGCCACATTTCTGACATTCGGTGGTACCCCTCGTGCAGATCGGCGGGGTCAGGATGCAAAAACAAACAGGATTTGCCACATTTCTAAAATTCGCTGGCACCACTTCCTTCACGCAGATCGGCGGGGTCAGGGTCCAAAAACACATGGGATTTGCCACATGTCTGAAATTCGCTGGCACCCCTCACGCAGATCGGCGGGGTCGGGGTGCAAAAACATATGGGATTTGCCACATGTCTGAAATTCGCTGGCATCCCTGACGCAGATCGGCGGGGTCGGGGTGCAAAAACATATGGGATTCTCGATATTTTTGAAATTCGCTGGCACCCCTCACGCAGATCGGCGGGGTCAGGGTCCAAAAACACATGGGATTTGCCACATGTCTGAAATTCGCTGGCACCCCTCACGCAGATCGGCGGGGTCAGGGTGCAAAACCATATAGGATTTGCCGCATGTCTGAAATTCGCGGGCACCCCTGACGCAGATCGGCGGGGTCGGGGTGCAAAAACATATGGTATTATCAACATTTTTGAAATTCGGTGGCACTCCTCACGCGGATCCGTAGGGTGGCACCCCTCACGTAGATCGGCAGGGTCACGACGTCTTACCAATCGCCAGGTGTGGTAACCCCTCTGGTCATCTATTGGTTTTGCTCACGAAGAGTCGGCCTCGCATGAAGTTCCGGTACTGCTTTACGACAGCGCCCAGGCCTCATGACATAGCTCTTGCATAGCGCATTCTCCGAGAGAGGGGGCCGGCGGCAGGGGGCGAAGCCCGTACGGCAAAAATGGTCCCAAAAAATACCCGAACAAAGATTAAAAAATACTCCAAGCATCGTCCCTCGACTATTTTTCATTACTACTTTTGAACACTCCTCCTGTAGAGGGCCACGCCCGACTTAACCCTTCCCCCTCCCTTCCTCCTTCCCCCCCCTGGTCCTGTGGAGGGCCCGCCCCTCCTTCCCTCGTTCTCCCCCCCCCCCCTTCCCGTCACACAGGTTTCCCCGGAGTTGGGTTTTCGCCTGCATTTGTTCCAAAATGCTGCTCTCGCTGAGGCGCTGGCCTCATTTTCGGGCCCCGCTCGTTCCGAATCGCGCTCCCGCTGCAGCGCTGGCCTCATTTCCGTGCTTCCGCTCGTTCCGAATCGTGCTCCCGCTGCAGCGCTGGCCTCATTTCCGCGCTTCCGCTCGTTTCGACTCGTGCTCCCGCTGCAGCGCCGGCGTCATTTCCCGTGCCATGCCACGGCATGCAATGCAATGCTAGGTTGATACTACGCTTTGCGGTGCTCTTCTACGCCATGCCATGCCGTGCTCTACAATGCATCGCGTACCCTTTCGGGATCATTGCCCTGCTCGACATCCGACTGAGCGAGTAGAGAGGGGATCTGCGCCATGGTACGGGATGGGAGGGAGGGGTAGGATGTCAGATATGACGCGAGGCCATCCCTGCTTGGGCCCCCCTCTCCCCCCTCCCTTCCGTCCCCTTCCTTCTCCCCCCCCCCTCCTTCCTCCCTCCTTCCCCCCTCCTTCCTCCTTCCCCCCCCCTCTTCCTCCCTCCTTCCTCCCTCTTCCTCCGTCCTCCCCCCCCCTCCCTTCCTCCTCCCTTCCCCCTCTTCCTCCGCCCTCCCCCCTCCCTTCCTCCCTCCTTCCCCCTCCCTTCCTCCCTCCTCCCCTCCCCCATCCCCCTCCGTCCCCCTCCCTTCCTCCCTCCTCCCCCCCCCCTCAGATCCTGTGGAGGGCCAGGGACCGCCCGCCTCCCTTTCCGGCAGGCGCTCGCCGATCGCACGCCGCCGCCGCCGCCGTCGCCGCTGCCGTCGTTGCCGTCGCCGCTGCCGTCGTCTGCTCTGCGAGGCGGGGACTTTATCCATTGAGGGGCAACGATAGGGGGAGACTGGCATAGGGGGGGATGCATCGACCTGGGATCGGCGATACCTCGCCGAGGGATTGGGGAGAGGCCTCTGGTAGTGAATCCGCACCTTCCTGGGCGGGTTGAAGCTATCGGGCCCCTATCGGCGGTCAATGGGCGATTCAGGGTCGATGCATCCCCCCCTATGCCTATCCCCCCATATCGCTGCCCCCGATCCATACCCACCGGGGAAACGACGTCCTGGCACCCCAGCGGGCGATGGATATGGATACATTTTGGCCCCCGGGGGCCCGAATGTATCCAGATCCACCGCCTGCGAGGTGCCCGAAAATCGATCCTCCAGGTGGTGGTCAAGTTCCCGCCTCGGATTCTCCGGTGGTCGTCGCCGGCGCCGTTCGGA